GCGAGAGGGAGAGGGAGAGAGAGAGTGAGAGGGAGGGAGTGAGAGAGCTAGCCTAGGGTCAGAATCCCGAGCAAACATCCCTCCATCGTCCCCTCACCTAATGGTCTCTCTTCGCTACCCTCCCTCGCTTTGGTAAGGGTATTCCGTTTCCTTTATCGGTCTCCTATGGACAGCGATATCCACACCCCCTCCTTCTTCTTCTAGAGGTCCATTTCTGGCCTATAGGGCCCCAAACAGATAGGTTGGCCCCTCTCCCAGAATTGGAATATCCTCCTCCTGGTGCCATTTCTTGAATTACCAAATTTTGGAATTCCGTAATTTGGCGCTTCCCTGAATCGATATCTGTACGATTTTTTCTTACTTCGTAGGCCTTTAAAATAGAATTTTTGGTCTAAGTTCACGGCGTTTTCAAGATTCGTAATTAGGTGCTTTGCGGAATTTCTTGGGAGAGGGATACCATCCTCCTTTGCCTCAATGGTCCTTTAAAGAGATAGTTTTCCGATTTACGTAAATTAACTGTATCTAGGCTACTGTAGACTAGCTTCAGGTTTTTTAAATTTTCTGAGAGTCTTTAAAAACCCTCAAAATTGGCAGATTATTCTTGCTCGATTTTTCTGTGCATTTTTGGCTTCAGGGAGCCTTTAAACCTGCATTTTTTTTGCTATTCTAAGAATTTCCATCAACTTGGTTTTTTTGTTAGGGATATCGTTTTACTGACCCAGTTTTTTAGAAAATTTCATTTTTTCAATTTTTCTAACCCTCTCCCAGCTGTCCCAGCCCCTTTAAAGCTGTCTAAGCCCCGGGAAATTGCCCAAAAAACCGTTGTGCAACGTGATGAAGGTGGTACGGGGCAATACCCCCCGGGCTTCTTCAGCTCTAGCCACACACAGCTGTGCGCGAAACGGGCCACGCGGCAAAAAGCGCTCCGCTCGACGCGGCGGGGCCCCCGCCGAATGCCCCGAGGGCGCAAAAAGCCGGCAGAATAGCTAGGATAGCCCGACCGGGCAGTAATCCATACGGAATTAGGCAGGATCGGAACGGCATTTTTCGCCTTAAAAATCACGTTTTCTCGGCAATAAACTACACAATTTCGGGTCGGGGGTTCGACTCCAGCCGCAGCGATTTTTTGGCTTTTTGAATTGCGCTTTTTCGCCTTTTTGACTTGAATTTAAGCCATTTAAGCCAACCGCACGTTTAAATTCTGATTTTCGATGCTCAAAACTATAAAATTTTGCGTCGTGCTTTCGACCCCCGCCTGCGGCAAATTTTTGCTTTTTGCTTTTTTATATACTTTTCTATATGATTCCGAATTTTGATGATTATTGCCGTTTTTCCTTGTCCTTTTTAACCGTTTAAAGTATTTTCACCAATCTCAGGGTCCGGGTTCGACCCCCGGCAACATACATTTTTTGTTGCTTTTTCTCTGCTTTTTCCTCAATTTACTTGAATTCCGCGCCATTCCAGCGAACGCGCGTGTGAAAACGCCCCAAATTCCTTTATTTTTTTGGGTTTTTTTCCGGGAAATTAAATCTGTTTTCGAGAGGGGTCCAATTTCTTCTTCAGGATTCAGGGATTCCGGGGGTTAATTCGGGGATTGCGGGCCCTAGCGGAGGGCCCAGCTTGGGTCCTGCTGGGCCCCCTGGAAAATGCCCCGAGGGCACGCACACAACAAAACGAATGCTTTCCCATCTAGAGGGCCAAGACTAGGGGCCCAGTCTAGGGGCCCAGGGGAGAACAGGCCGAAGGCCGTGGGTGGGTAGGAGTATCGACCTGTACTCTCGAGTAGATTTTGCCTCGAACGGCCCTTTAAAACTATTTGAAGCGCGTATATTCGATTACGCCGTGAAATTCGGACTTGCCTGCAACGATTTTTCTGATTACGACATGTTATTCTGGCTTCCACGCTCCTTTAAAATGTGTTTAATAGGTTACGCTATTTTAATCATCGGTACAGCCTATTTTGATACTTTCTTTATGTTCCGAGCCCTTTAAAATTATCAAACATTGTATTCTCATCGATTACAACGTGAAATGCTCACTTAAAGCATCCTTTACAATTATTTAAATTGCTTACGAATTGACCTAAACGACCTTTTTTTCCTGCTGCCATCCCTTTAAAATCGTCTAGAATTTTTTACTAATCGATTACGTCATGAAATCCTGTCTTGAACGCTTCTTTAAAACCAATTTTATTAAGTTTCGCAGTTTCTCTGAACCGCTTGCTCCAGGAAATCGTGCCTTCAATGGCCCTTTAAACCCGCATGTTTTTCAGCTCGAAGAGCAGAACGAGCGTCTCCGCCTGCAGAACCTGCGATGCACCACCCAGCTGCAGATGCTCAAGTCGATGAGTGAGCAGACGAGACGCGCCAAACAACAGCACAACAAGCACCACGCACTCATGAGCCACTCGATTACGGTATGTGTTTAATTGGGTTAATCGATTACGCTTGGAAATTTTGGGGATAAGTTTAGGTCATGAAATTAGGGTTCTGGACTGTTAGCGGGGGGACCGCTTTTTGATTTTCCATCGATGCCTTCATGTTGATGATATATGATGTACTTTCTAGTGTTTTTAGTCGTTTTTGATTCTTAGGAAGTTATAAAAATTTAAAAATTCGAAGACTTGTGCCTTTTTTGGTCATTTTTCTTACTTTCTTGACAAAAAAGTCTAAAAATTTAAATTTTATTATTTTATTTGTTTTGTTATCTAAAAAACTATGTAAAATGCGATCAAAATGCGCTATTTTTTGTCATAGGGCCGTGGAGAATCACACTAAAAAAATTGGTACCCCCGCTAAAAACCCCGCGTCCCCCCGCTAACAGAACAGAACCGAAATGAGTATCGAGTTATTCGATGACGCTAGTTATTCACAATTATCGATTCGGTTACGCAATAGAATTAAAGTAGGTAATAAAAGCCGGTTCATTCGATTACGCTAGGTTATTCTAGATAATTACGATAGGTTTTTCGGGCCACAGCAATCGATTACGACATTTAATTCCATTTTTTTTCAGGGCGCCCTGCCCGTGTGCCGCGAGCTCGACAACCGGACATCGGACGACAGCGGTCTCACCTCGGATGAGCACCCGGATAGGTAATTTTTCATTTTCCGCAAATTGCCTCTGCTAGCCTGCCCTGAATATTTTATTCGATTTTTTTAGACTATGCCAACTGCCCGCCGACGCGATGAGCCGCTCCATAGCCGGCGAATCGACGCCGAAAACGCTCCGGAAAAGTGAGGCATTTTGATGTTTTTGGGCCGCTGGTTCAATTCCCTGCGGCGGCAGGCTTTTTGCTTTTTGCGTATAAGCTATCGAAAACATTTAATATATCGCGTTTAAACGCCAAATTATGTTTTTAGAAGAAATTTAACACTTCCTAGTCCATTTAAACCGCAAAAAATGGGTCCCGGGTTCGAACCCCGGCCGCGGCAAGTTTTTTGTGTTTTGTTTTTTACAGTCTAAACTAGTTCTAAAAATTTTTGAAGTTCGGTAATTCGCTCAGTCATAAAAGACTTGTCTGTCCCTTCAAAACACTGAAAATTGGGTCACTGGTTCGAACCCCGGCCGCGACAACCTTTTTGCTTTTTGCTTTTTGCTTTTTACGCTCTAACTACTAATTAACTTGATTTTTCAGCTCAGTATTTCGTTTCAAATCAGAAAATCAGGTTCTAAAATACGTATTCCTTTCAGAAGCACCCCGGCAGAACAGCGCCGACTGTGGGGGTACGGTAGGAGGAGCAACTTCACCGGCTCCCTCCTCTGACGGCTCGCCGATATGGGAACAGCCACGCCCGGTCCCGACTCCAAGAAAACCCAGGAATACCCTGGTAAGGCTTTGATATCTTAATCGATTTTCAGATTACGCTATGAAAATTGGTTGCTCTTTTTCAGCTGGAGCGCGACTCGCTGAACTCGTTCGTCGATGAGTACGAGTTCTTCGACTGCGAGGAGGAGACGTTTGATGAAGTTGTGGAGAGCCCTGTCGATAGGTGCGTAGTGGAATTAAGTGTATTGATTGGGGCAGAGTGGCAAAGATTCTTTGAGGATTGGAACGGCAAGCTAGCAGAGATCCTTTGAGGAATTGGAGGGGCAGACTAGCAGAGATTCTTTTAGGAATTGAAGGGGCAGACTAGCAGTGATTCTTGAGGAATTGGAGGGCAGGCTAGCAGAGATGTTTTGAGGAATTTAATTTAATTTTTTTCAGCCCCGTCTGGAGGCCCAGAATACGTGAACCTCGCCGATTTCTCAGCCATCCGAGACGACAAAGAACATCCTACTCGGACATCATCAAGCCGTCCTCGTCTTCGGCTTCTCCTCATCCCCGGCTCCTCCCTCAGCATCGTTTGAGGCTTTGGGTATGTGTTGTTTTTTTTATTTTGTTTTGTTTGTTGTTTAAATTTGGTTCCATGCCCCTTTTAAACCCTAGATGGATTTTCTAGAGTTTGTAGTCTTTTTTTTGCTTACTTCGATGGATTTAGCCTTCAACGGACCTTTAAAACCGTTGAAGTGCATTTTTCGAGTTTGTATTCTGTAGTTTAGCTACCAGAATCGTCATTTTTACCTGCGACGGCCCTTTAAAACAGCTTCATTAGTTTTTTAAGAGTTTGTAGTCTGTAGATTTCCATTTAATCCTATGAATTTTTCCTTGAAGGACCCATTAAAACATCTATATCTTTTGCTTCAGGAATCAAGATCTCGACGCGGCCGATAATGCCTTGCCCAGGGCTCCGGGCTGCAGACTACAGCTGAGACCACAGACTACGAGGGCCCCTCTTCCGTCTCGCCCTATCAAGTGTCAAGGATCAGCGACAATCGGGTGGGTGGATGATCTTCAAGCGACCTTTAAAATTCGAAAAATCTGGGTTTGTGTTGACGTTGCGGTTCTTTGACATTATCGGGGGAGAAAAATTTTTCTCAAGGGACCGATGTTTTTAATGTAAATAGCATTAATTAGCATTAATGTTTCTAAACTGTTTTTTACTTAAATAAAAACTATAAATTTTTATTAATAAATACAATAAAATATCGTTTTTCGACCAAAAATGGCCGTTTTGACGAGAATGTCGACTTTTTGAAATGTTTGTTTCAAATTTTGAAAATTGAAAGTTTTTGATAACGTTTTACTAGTTAAAATATACCTTATTATACTGAAAACATTATGAAAACACTTCCTATTAAGTTACTAGGCATTTCTAGATTAAGACAAAAGAATTTGTGCCCCCCCCCGGATATTGCCGAAGAACCGGCGTTGCCTTCAATGGTCCTTTAATGCCGCTCAGTTTCCTAGATTACGGTATTTTCAATATTGTCATCTTTCCAGGCCTCCTCCTCGGGCCGTCGATCGAATAGCGCCTCTTCGGGGAATGTCGATCCCTCGTGTCTTTTCGAATTATCCCACGGCGGAGGTAAATTTGCCTTCGCTGTCCCTTTAAAATCAATTTTCAGGTCGACATTGATCCGTATGAATCGCCGAGTCGACATTTGAATGAGAGGGTAGCACTGGCATTCCGGCCATCGATGATACCCTATGCCGAAGCGGTGAGCTGTTAATTCAGTATTATTTTTTTTTGGTAAATTGGGCGGTAGCGAGTTCTGCCATTCGAAAGAGCGCCAAAAATAGCGCTGAAAAGGTTTGGTTTGAGATCTGGGAGACCTTGGTGTGTTTGCTACGATTTTTGGAAGGCTGACTCTGACCCCTAGCCTCCTTTTACCTTTCCGGGCCTAGTTGAGGCCGATCGGGCATTTTCAACACGTCATTCAATTTGCATCTGAAAGAGCATCAAAAATAGTCCCTAAAAACGTTTGGTCCGAAGCCCGAGAGGCCCTGATTTAGTTGCTAGAATTTTCGGAAGTTTTGAGTTTTCGTGTTTTTGAGCAAAAGACTAGACATTCCTGCAGGAATCCTTTCGGCTTAGGGCAAGCTAGCTGGGATTCTTTAGGACTAAGGGCAGGCTAGCAGAGAGCATTTGTTTCGTTCCAACGCACCTCTAAACGTTTTTTTTCAGATCGAAAAAGCCGGCTACTGGTGCCAGCTCTCGGAGAGTCGCCTCAAATCGCTGAAGCGTCGCTTTGTGGACACCGCAACGGGACGCTAACCTTCTACCGTACCCAGGTTAGTAATTGTCATTTTAAAAATTTGTATTGTAGAAGCTTCGCAATAAAATCTGGTTTTTTAAGATTTTTGACTAGACCTAGCTTTTCGAAATGTCATTTCTATTCTTTTACCGTGGCCAATTGCCCTGGAAAATGCCATTTTTTGCTTTTTACCGTAGTCAAGTCAGATAAAAAGTCATTTTTATTTTAGATGGTAGTTAAATTCATGATTTTGCACTTTTTTTTTCCAGAAGAACATGGCCCGAGATGAGGAGCCACTTCTCCGGATCCCCGTCTCCGAGCTGAAGTCTGTCACCCGGATCCCCGGCAACCCGTACGCCCTACAACTCCGCGACGGCCACACAACGGCTACAGTATCAGACGGACAGCGAGAAGGGCACAGAGGAGTGGGTCTCGCTGATCGGCCAGGCGATCAGGGGTGAGGAAAATGATCTCTGCTGGTTTACCCTTTAAGAATATCTGCTAGCTTGCCCTCGTTTTCCCCGCTTTCCCAAAAAACCTCTGCTAGCCTGCCACGAATCTAAAAAGCATTAAAATCTTTTATCATCATTTTCAGGCACAACCCTTCGCGAGCTGGCCTCCCGCACGTCCCGGAATCGAGGCCACAATTTCCGGCGTTGTGCAACGGGTCAACGCGGACACTCGAAGCGCCTTCACGCCGCCCTCGCCGGCCAGAAGCTGCTCTTTTTCAAGAATCCGGAGGACACGGTGCGTTTGTTTTCATCATAGCCCCTTCTTATCTTTCCAGCGGGCTACTAAACCCATCCCCAATGGCCTCTGTAAGATTGCCCTTTTTTAAACTAGTTCCAAGCAAATAATCAGTAATTTGCTGCAAACATCCCTTTAAATTAAAAACGCCTAAACTGTTTTTAGCCTAAAATTGCCAGATTTACGTTGCGTAAGCGATTGGAAACGCTTCTTTTTAATAGGGTGCCCTCTGCCTTAAAAATTAAAAAAACTCCGATTTTAGCCTCAAATTACGGTAGCAGATTTGTCATTTTTGCAATGCTGGAGACTTAAAACTCAAAAGAAAAATATACAGCAAAGAACATTGAAACTAACTGGTCTTTCCATGCTCCCCACTCCATGCCCCACCTGGCCACTAGTGTGGAGAGGTCCTAGGGGTTTTCCTGAAGTTGGCCAGCAGTTCCCCCAGACAGGCTTGGGCAGGCTAGGCCCAGGTGGAGAGCGGAAGCCCAGGCCAGGCTTAGGCTTAGGCTTAGGCCCAGGCAGGCGGAAGCCAGGCTTGGGCTTAGGCTTAGGCGGAAGCAGGCGGAAGCGGGCCCAGAGCAGGCGGGCTTGGAAGCAGGCCCGGAAGCAGGCTTGGAAGCAGGCAGGCAGAGAAGCAGGCCCAGGCCAGGCAGGCGGAAGCCCAGGCTTGGAGCAGGCTTGGAAGCAGGCAGGCTTGGAAGCAGGCCCAGGCAGGCAGGCTTGAGCTTGAGCAGGCTTAGGCTGGAGCAGGCTTAGGCTTAGGCTTGGAAGCAGGCAGGCTTAGGCTTGGAAGCAGGCTTAGGCTTAGAAGTCGCCCATGAAATCGGCCATATCCGTGGGCTAGGAGAGGTCGACCATGGAAAACAGCCAAATCGATAGGCTAACGAAAGTTTTTAGCTTTTTTTATTTTTTTCTTTGTATTTCCGCTGGTGTTTTTCGCAAATCTTTTAATGTGATCATTTTCGTTTAGCTAATTTCGGCCTACATAAAGTATAAGCTATTTAAAGAGTTGGGCTTGGGCGTAGGAATGAGTCAAACATGTTTTTTATTCTTCGAGGTTTTTATTTGGGAATTTTTATACAGAGTTTTCCAGGGTTCCGGCAAGCTTCGTGGAGCTGCAGGGCGCCAGGTTTACGAAAACAAAAAGGTCCCAGCGAGGAATGTCAGGGCGGTTCCGATGGTTTCAATCGAGAACCGAGAGACCACCGCAAGAGGAAGGAATATGCGGTCTCTATTGAGGTGGGGCTTTTTTTTTTCGTGGGATCTTCTGACACTACGCATAAAACTACGTCGAAATACGCTTTAAAATCATTGTTCTAAAATTAGAATAGTTGCCGCCGTCGATTTTTTGTTACAGGTGTGCCCTGACCCGCTGTACATCGTCTTTCGGTCGGCCGAGGAGAAGGAGCGCTGGATGGTAGGTCGTAGTTCAGATTTTCTGGTGCGCCCGTACTTACAGTACTTCCTGAAAGCCCGCGTCCGGAGATGCAAGCCTCTGCAGGACGCCGTTTGAGCTGCTCGTCCAGGGGATGCTCGTGGAGGCGCCGGACCCGACTCGCAGATCTGGATGATCTTCTACTCGTATCAAGAGACGATCCGCGGGGTTGATGACTACCGTGCAAGCTGCCGAGAAAAAAGGCCCTCGAGTTGCTAAAGTGAGAGATTTTCATGATTTCAGCTTCAAGGTCCTCTAACGGAAATTCGGAAATTCTGGTTCTCAGCCTTTTTCGCGATCACTTAAAAGCCGGACCCGGTTAAGAGAGTCGTACCATTTCCGCCGCACGGCTTTATTTTCCAGGTGCTGCCACCCGCTTTTTGGCCCATCGCCAGAGGCACTAGATGCGGCCGTGTGCCGTCCAGTACCACATCGACCCCTCCCAGAATATCCTGTCGACCAGATCCAGCTGGATTGGGTCAGCGGAATAAGCTGGCTTATGCACAGGTAAGACATTCCGAGAAATGTCTTCGCTGGTCTGCCTAAGCCTAAGCAAAGCCCAGGCTAAGCCTAAGCAACGCCTGGGTTAAGCCTGTGCCTAAGCCCACCCTATTTTCCAGATGATTCGCGCCTGACAAGCGGCTCGATGAATTGGGGACTACTAAGCTGGAAGCTCCTCGCGCTCGCCCTCCCTCTTCCTCCCGAAGCAGCTACGCCCTGCTCTGGCTGCTCCGGGAGGCACATCTCGAGATGGGGCAGCTGGAAGGTTGTAGTTTCTCTCTCTCGCTCTCACTGTCTCTCCCCTCATCTTTCCCTGTCTCTCTCTCTCTCTCTACTCTACCTTCTCTCTCTATCTCTCTATCTCGCTCTCTCTCTTTTCTGCGGAGTTAAACTTGAATTACTCACAGTAAACTCTCTTTTTTAGTGGTGACAGAATCCGCCCTCACCGAGGCTACGTATGGCCCCCCTGGGCGTAACTTACAGACGGGCAGTCAGTTCGAGGGCCCATCTCGACCTGGCTTCGTCGATCCTGACGCGAGACCCCACAGCCACCACATTCCCGCCTCCCATTTCCGTCAAGTTCTAAATGGGAGTTGCTCGGGTAGATTTTGAGAGATTTTTGTGTTTCTCAAATGGTCTCTGCTAGCTTGACCGTGTCTCGGATTTTCCGAAAAATCTTTGCTAACATGTCGGTGAATTGATTTTCCCCAAATTTTCACTGCTGGTTTGCCTGGGCGTCCTAAAAGATCTCTGCTAGCTTGCCCTCGTCTCATATTTCCATAAGAATCGCTGCTGGCTGGCCTGGACTTCCGAAAAGATCTCTGCTAGCTTGCCTGGTCTCTTGCTGATTTTCCCCAAATTGTCTCTGCCAGGTTGCCCCTTCGCTCGTAAAATAAATACTACAAACTCTAAACGCCGATTTTCAGGTCGTCGAATTCGACGGCTCCACCGAAGTCGGGCAGTGCCTCTCTTCACTGTGCCTTAAATTGGGAATGCGGCCGGCTCTACTCTCCGGATATGCCCTCTACATTGATCATCCGACGAATGGAGGACTACAGCTGTTGAAGGGGAAACAGAAGGTACGATACTTTACGTTAAGTACGATGCAGTACGTGGTACCATACGCGGTTGTACGCTACCTACTAACGCTTAGTACGCTACCGTACACAAGTGTACGCGACGCTATTGTACGCTACAGTACGCGGATGTACGCTACGTTAGAGTCCGAAATAGCACTCCGGGCTACACAACGCCTAGTTACGCGTAGCAGCCGACAGTACGGAAGTTTACGCTACGCTATAATACGCGGAATCACGTTTTTTCCTCCTGGCGTTTTTTGGGTTGCGTTATATGTAGTACGCTACAGTACCGCGGCATACGCTGGGCGAAAATTCAATTTTTTCGCCTTTGAGTACGCTTGTGTACTTTAGTACGTCTACATACGCTTGAGTACGTTAGGATCCGCTACAATACGCTACAGTACGATAAAATATGCGTTTTTTTGCAGCTCTGCGACTGCCTGACGCTGTGGGAACGACGAGAACGAGATGTAAAGAGAGGACGAGTAGCTGTCGAAGTGGCCCGGCTCGAGTTGCGACTCCGACACTACTGGCCCCATCTTGCCCACACGGAAACCATGATAGAGAGGGTACGCATTTTCGCTAATTTCCTCTGCTAGCTGCCCCGGCTAGGGGCATGCTAGCAGCGATCATTTAGGGAATTTAATTTTTCATACTCTTTTTTTAGGGCTTCCTCGCGTGGCGATCGGCCGAGGAAATCGTCGAGGGCAGAGTGCCACTAGGCCCCCAATTGGCTGAAGATATCATGGCACTCTATGGACAGCTGTATTTTGGAGATCTCGATGGGTCGACAAGCCAACAACAATTCGATTATGTCACCTCAAGGTACGAAAAATTCTTCAGAGAATCTCTGCTAGGCTGCTCGATATTTCCTCAAAATCTCTGCTAAATCGCCCAAAATTTTGCTCGATTTCAAATTCCTCAAAGAATCTCTGCTACACCCGCGTTTTCCAGGTTCTACCCCCGAAAAATGCTCGACGTCGCGAATATGAGAACGCTTCGCGCGAGTCTCGACCAGAATTGGCGCCAAATGACGGGCAGTAGCGAGGCGGAATGTATTCGATTGATACTACAGGTATTTTTAAGACGGTCCTTAAGAATCTCTGCTAGCTTACCCACTTCCCAAAGAATCTCTGCTAGCTACCGCCTAAAAACTCTATTTTTCAGGTGCTCCGGAAGTGGCCACTCTTTGGCAGTTCTCTATGGGAAGCCGGGCTGAGGACGAGCAATGAAAGAAGGGTCGTTCTGGCCCTCCACGACACCGGCCTTCACATCCTGGACCGGAAACAGCTGGTTAGTGCTTTTGCAACGGGTTTTCCGCAAAGAATCACTGCTAGATTGCCTTGTGGATTGCCAAATTTGCATTTCTTAAGGGATTTCTGCTAGCCTGCCCCCTATTTTTCCGCAAGGATCTCTTCTAGATCGCCCTCTAAATGCCTCCAAATTTTATTAACGAACGTCCAATTTAGCCAGTTGCATTTCCTAAACAATCCCTGCTAGCTTGCCCCGAATTTTTGGCCTGAAATTAGTACATTTAGACATTTTATAACCTCTGCAATCTTTTTTTCAGGACCCGATCCGCTCCATCCCATTCGACAGTCTCGTCGCGTTCGGCGCCTTCCACAGCGACTTCATGCTCACGGTCAGCTAGCGGGGATTTTTTGGGAATCCCGATTTTAGGTTGAACGCGTCCTGCCGCCGGATTGCCATCCGGAAGAGACGCCGAAAGAACGGCTGACGTTCAGCATGGAACTGTGCCAGATTGAGCAGGTATTTTTGGGCTATGAACTACAAAATACGATTATACAGGCTACAAACTACAAAAAATTAAAGCTACACGCAAGGAAATCACGTTAAAAACAGAAAACCTCGTAAAAATCGTCCAAAATCGCAAATTTCACGAAACAGACTACAAATTAGAGCATAAACTATAGTAGAAAATACAGATTACAAAATTCAGAGTACAAACTACAAAAATGTAAAGCTATACGCATAGAAAACGCACTTTGAAAGTCAGAAAAACGCATGAAACACACTGAAAATT